GTGTGGGGAAGTTCCACAGACCACCCTGTATCCCAGCACTGTCAAGGATGTAACAACATATTCTGGGATCAAATATAGTCATGTTTTCAAAAAACAAACACTCCCTTCCCCCAACACTCCATTTTTACTGTTGAAGCTACAAGCTTTTAAGTTCAAAGCACTGATGATGAAAACTGATGTGACCCACCTACTAAGCACGACAGCTTGCAGGCAGTGACAGGATGTCAGAGCAAGCTCCTAGTTATACCTGCAGGTAACTTTTTTAAGCTGCTTTATAGATCACCTGCTGGTGTCTGATGAAACACAAGTTGCACAAACAATTCTAGAGCCAAACAATCCAGTTTTTTTTTTTTTCCCCAACCCTCACTCAGAGGTTCTCCTTTTTACAGACTTTGTTACCTTCTTTACAGATCTTGTTACCCACCCATAACTTTCCCAAAGTATGATAGTATCACAAACTGAACAAGCTACTTTTAGCTGAAGACCTACCACTCCTCAGTAGAATGGAAAAACCGCTTCATTACTATATTTACAATGCTTTTTTCACATGTTCCAGTATGACAAGTGAATTTTCATGACAGTGATGCTGCTGACTCATGATAATTTAGGAACGACTACAACCCTGAGATACTATCCCACAGAACTGCTGTCTAGCCAGATGTTGTCAGCGTAAGGTAATATTCCTAAACACAGTAATTTGAACCCATCTACACCAAAATGGCCGAAATCAGTGCTCTTGATTTCAGACCATTTTTTCAATTTGTCAAGATCATATCATCTGTGTGTTTAGTAAGAATGTTATTTCAACGCAGAGAAATGAAAGCACCAAACAGCATGTGATCCAGGACTGACTCCCTGATGTGAATACTCTTCTCTTGAACATACATACCCAAGTCCTGCCTTTTTCTAGATGCTGCAAAGGGAAGCACTCCTCAATTCTTTTCAGTATTCTGGAACTTTTCCCACCCCCACTGGCTCTCAGTTCCTTAAATACTGTAGGATAAGTTCCATAAGGCCCAGCCAACCCAAGGACATTCAAGTTGTCATGAACCTGTTTCTCTACTTTAACTAGAGTTCAAAGTAGAGGAAGGACGATTTTCCCAAACTAACAGTCAGGATCATAACACATGCAACAGTTTCAGGGTGAGAGTTCCCTTGCTGAGTTTTTTAAGATTGGCAGCAAAGATCTTTTCAGACCACCTCACATGAATCCTGATTAATCCCTTGATGAGCAATGCATTGGAACACAGTGGCAAAACACTCCTTTCTGCTGAAAGGCTGGAGACCTGTTGCAATCTTTACCATACAAATTCACCAGAAACTTTGTGAGTACCAACAATTATTGTGCTGGGAATAGTACCGCATACCTCCATGGCAGACTCAGTCCTTTATTTACAAATTAACTGCTCATCACAAACTGAAGATGACAAAATTCCAAGAAAGCGACCACCATTGCCACATGCTCTGTATGTTTCAACTACACTATGAGGGTCATGCAGATATCCGGGAAAGCAGGCCCTGACACACTAAACCTCTATACCCACTGCTAGTCATTTTTGGCCATACCACTATCTACCCCCTACACTTATTATCTACCTGAACTTAGAGTAGATGCTGAAAAAATGGTTAGAAGGGAAATTAATTTAAAATTCTTCATTTACTCCTATACTGAAAAAAGGGGGATTCCTAAAACCAGGGACATGTACTTAGACAACATTATATACACACACACTCCCCCTTTGCTTATTAAGAGCCACCAACATCACACCATGAAGTTACGATGCTCCTTCCAGGGTAGAGGATAAGACTATGAAAACACTGAATTGGAAGTGATCACAAGACTCAAGGAGGAAAAAAAAAAAAAAAAGAAAAAAGACATTGACATTTTTGCTAGAGTGATAGTGAATCTCAGAACTTCAGTAGCTCCTGGTGAACCTCTAGTATATAACAGCCCCTGAGGCACAAGGTCATACACTGCAAAATATTTTTAAGCCAGACCTTGGAAGTGCAACTATTTCCGATTAGTCATTTTATGGAATTGCATACACTAACACTTTGCAGTCTTTTTGCTTACAGAAAGGTCTAAGGAACATAATGTGTTAAAATTCTTCTGACACTTTTGAAGGCCAGCTAGAGAAGGCAGGAACTGGTATAGTTAAGCACACTTTAATCAAGAAATTCCAGTTTGGAGTGATACAGCCTGATCGCTAATATGTATGATTAATTTAACCAATATGCTTCCCTTCCCACTTATTGCCATGCTAATGGCCTCGTCTAACCTAGAATTTTTAGCTCTGTACAGTGTTTGCACATATACATATGGGGTAGTGGGTACTTAACCACTATCAATCTCTATCTAAATTGACTCCCAAAAATGTAAATTTGTCTTCTGACCATACAGTAACTCATTAAAGTTTGGCACATTTTCACAGGGACATATTAACTTACAGAACACAAGTTAAACAACATCCTGGCATTCATGAAGTATACTAAGCAGGACCAGGTTTCTGCCAACTTCACTGCTTTTCATCAAATCTGACAAGTAAAGAGAACATGCACTTTAATTACTCTTACTGAAACAAAAGCCACATACGATTTAGTTGGTATCCTGGTCACTACGTAAGTGACAGTAAAATGTCTACTTACATTGCTGTGTTAGCAGAACAAAATCCAAACCACTCCTGCCTCTACAAATAAATTAACACAAAACTTAAAAATCCCAAACTTCCTGGTATACACACTATGTCTATATCATCAACTGCAAAATTCAGTAACTATTACCTTTCCCTGTATAAATTATTGCAACAGTCATCCCATGGTTGTGTTTTTACAAAGCTGTAAGAAAAAGCTGTACTCATGCAAGAGCAGCCAGCACTTTACTGGAGAGGTGCTTTATGTTTTAGCTCTACTGAACATAGTCAGCTCTTTTCCAATCTGCTCGTACAGACGACAAAGCACGCCCTGAAGTACACTTCGCAACTAAATCAATTCAGCAGCTACATAACTAACTTCAAACATTATCTAACACTGAAATTAAAAAAAAAAAAAAACAACAACAAAAAAAAACCCAACAAACAATTTTAACTCTTAAGCCAATAGTTTCTGTTCACTTATTAAAGACAAGAACTAGATTATCTGACACCCCACACTCCTGAGGAAATTCACAGATCCAACCACAGCATTTTTCTGTATTAAAAATAAGTATCCCACAGCTCTTGAAATATTTTTTTACATTTAATGAAAGTGCCAGTGAAGATTATTTTTCTGTAGTAATTTCATTTCCTAATTTAAAACAGGAATTTCAAGACACAGTAACACCACATACAAGGCAGTCCTATCTGTGAGACAAGTTGGCCGTACCCTGCAAAATGTTCTCAAAGTAAAGTATTTTCCCTAACAATTCAGAAAGTGTGCACTTCCACTTGATTTGTTATATATCACATCTGCATTCTGCTCCTCTTATTTTTGAGACATCTGCAGAAGAAATGGGGCTTTTTTTTTTTTTTAAATGCCATCTGTTTGCTGCATATTTTTGCTTTAAGTCCTAGTATGATAACTGCAATGGAAACTTCTGTGTCAGATAGACTACAAACTAGATGAATAAAAAAATGCAGAGGCTGCACTTCCCTACAAATAGCAGTAAAAAAAAAAAAAAAAAGGGAAGTATCACCTGAAGGTTTTCTACTCTAAATATAAAATTTCAAGCAGTTGTTCTTACTGCACTTTTCTCTAGAAATGATCAGAAGGAATGTGAGTTGAAAAACTGCTCTTCTTAAACCTGGTGATTTTATTTCTTCCTACTACTGCTCTACACCTGTTTTCTTCCTGAGTCAGAGACTGGAAGTTTGAAACACTGGACTCCAAATGGATGAGCACAGTGAACCTTTTGCTGAAATACCAGCCATATTAATTCATGAAGGTAACATTTGCATAAGCTTTTTTGATAACCACCTAACATTCTTACAGAAGCAATGTCAACTCTACAGTAAACTCAGCTTTAATGGCCATCCAACTATCTCAGCTGTTTTTTTTCACCTCCATACCCTCCCTTTGCTGTTTCCATACTTCACTCAGTCACTTGCAATGTTCCACAGTATTATCAACATTACTAACGCTTGTGTCACTCAGACCTCGGAGGCGGGGAAAGGAAGGCTAATTTATCTAGTCATGCTAATAAAAAAATATTTTTAAGCAATGATCTTAAACGATTCTACCATTACTTACAAGAACTTAAATAGCAACTGTTCCCCTAAAGCTGTTTAAAAACTCGTAACTTGTGCAGACACCCACTAACTGCTCTAAAATCGTTCCAAACAGGCTCATTACTGAACTAAATTCAATTCGCAGCCTTAAACGCAGCTTTGAAACGCTAGGTGTAAACACAGCTGTTCCGATCAAGTCCAACTACAGCCGTTAAATCATGCAAGACCTTAGGCCAACAGGGCATAAAACACACCGGACACGCAATAATAACTTTCGCGACAAGAAAGAGGGGGGGGAAAAAAAAAAACAAAACCAACACACAGACAAAAAAAAACAAACAAACAAACAAAAAATCCCCCAAAACCACCTCACGCTCACACCGGGCGCTGTTTGCCTGTGAACAGGTAAGGAGCGGCACCTGAGGAGCTCTGGCAGGCTCGGGCGGCCCCGGCCGCGGCTCCCGCGGCACACGTGTCACTGCCCGGCGCCGACCGCCCCCTCCCGCCGGGGGCTGCCGGGAAGAGCGGCCGTCAACCCCGCAGAGCCGGAGGGGAACGGCCCGAGCCAGCGCGGCGCACCCGGTTTCGTTTCCAGGTCGGGATCAACACCAGGCGGCCCCGAGGCCGCCCCTGCCGCGGGCGCTGCGCCCGCCCCGGCCCCCCCCCCCCCCCCCCCCCCCCCCGGGGGTTCATCTCGGCGGAACGCCGCGTCCCGGCCCGTCCTTTTCCCTTTTCCCTTCCCCCGCCCCCCCCCCCCCCCCCCCCCCCCCGCACCCGACCGGTCAGCTTGATGACAGGACAAGGCTGAACTGCGGGCAAGAACCAGAACGGCGGCGTCCAGGCAGTGCCGAGCGCTGCGAACTTTCCGGCGAAGCAGGAAACAATAAAACGCGGAGCTTCGGCCCCAGCCGCCCTCCCCCAGCCCGGCCCGGCCCCACAGGGAGCCCCTCGCTGCCGCCGTCGGGGACGGGCTCCTCGAAGGCCTGCCGCGGGGCGGGGGGGGGGGGGAATGCCCGGCAGGCCCGAAGGAGCTCCCCGGCGGCCGCACCGCCCCCCCCGCCGCCGCCGCCAGCGGAGTCCCGGCCTGGCGGGAGGCCGATCCCGGGCCGCTCCGAGGCCGCGGAGCCAGTTGCCGGGGAGGTAAGGGCGGCGGGCCGGGTCCCGGGGAGGCGGACGACGGGGCGGCGCGGGGGGGGCGCGGCGGGGCGCGGGGAGGAGGGGTGGGGGAGCCGCACTCACCAGCCAGGCCCCTCTCGCTGTCTCCTGCGGCCCCAGAACCATAACAAAGCTCTGCCCAAAATGGCTGCCCGGCCCTGCCCGGCCGGGGGCCGGAGGGGGCGGGGCCTCAGAGGGCGCGGGGCGGGGCGAACGAGGCGGAAGGGACACGCCCCCTTCCCCGGCGGCCACGCGGGGCGCTCCCCACCCCCGCCCCGCCAATCAGAGCCGGTAAGAAGGACGCACCGGTTACCGCCGCCCGTCGGGGCGTCACCGGAGACTACGCGCCCCAGAAGGCGGTGTGCGCTCCCGCCGCGCCGATCGTCCAGGCGCCGTGCCGCGGGGCAGGCTGGGACATGTAGTCAGCTTCCCCCCCCCACCGCCAGGGGAGATAAGCTTGCCCGGTCTCAAGCATGCCAGGGACCAGGACCGCCTGCTCCGGTGGGTGCCACGCATACCCGGGAGTTTCTCCGGCGCGGCGGAACGACGCGGGCCGCGCCTGTTCCCGCCCGGATTCGCACCGCGGTCCCCGCCGGAGCGCTTCCCGGGACACCGGAAGCCGCCTCAGCGAGCCTCGGGGTCGTGCAAGCCGGTGGGTACCGTCATGGCCGGGGCCTAGCGGGGGGCACGGCCCGGCCCGGCCCAGGCCATTCGGGGGGTCCCGCGTCCCTCCGAACACACCGGTTCTCCTCTCCCTTCCTCTCCGGGTTGGGCCTTCGGGTGCGCGGAGCCGCCCCCTCCCTTCCCCGGAGCAGCAGGACTGTGAACAGTCCAAGCCCAGCGCCGAGCTGCTTGCCTTTCCCTTTAGTTTTGTCCCCTCTGCAGACCCTTGCAGCTTGGGGCGTGATGAAGTTTTCACGCTAACGGTGAAGGATCGGTTTTTCTACATGCGAGGAACTGTTCGTTTGTAGCCTACGTGCAGCCGTTTATCGCATGAAAAGTAGATGATCCATAAACGGGAAGCCATCACCTGCTTCCTTAGTTTTTTAGCTACAAATTGTCTTTGTAACAGTTATTACAACTTTAGAACTTAAGTTCATATAGAACTACCTGAAACAAAATATCCTGTAGTGGGTAAATAAGGATTGAGTACCTACAATATTTACCTTTAAACATACCTCTGTAAGAGTCTCACATCTGATAAGTCTAGACTGTGACTTTGGACATAAGATGAACTCGGCTATTCATCAGTTTCAGACTTCATGAATATCTCTGTTTTTAGGGCTTTGATAAAGCAAGTATGTTTGCTCTCATACAACGATGCTGTTTCCCCACACCTTTCAAAGTAAGTTTCTGAACTCTTTCTTGCTGACTTTTTCTTTAAAAGAGAAGGTATGATTGGAACATTGGAAAAAAAATTGGAATAGCCATGTTTATCACTCAGTTTTTGTGAGAATTCCTAGTCTCTACAGTAGCTTTTAGCCAAAGCTAATACTTTTATCGTCAAATTTTACTGTCTAAAGGTCTTTTTCTTCCCCCTCTTTAGTAATGAGGGGATAGTAGCTAGTTTCTGAGGTGACCTTCTCCTACTTCTGTAATCATTTTGTACTGTGAAAAGGACTGATATATCTTAACTTAATAATGCCTAAATAATGCATGTGTGGGTGGAAGGATAGGTGGATATACAAACCTTCTGTAGTGAGTAAGGTTTGCTTACTCACTATGAAGAGCCTAGTTGCTCTTCATCAGCTACTTTGTGAAAGCAGTATCAGTTAGCTTAATTAGTTAAGAACATCTGAAAACGGAGAGAAAGGGCAGCTGTGATGTGACCTGACAATATTATACTTGGTATAATATTTCATAGCTAGCTTAGGTAATGGTAGATCCATAAGACTATGTTATAAGGTGTTCAGAACAAGTTTTACACTTGCAGCTCCAGAAGTTCGCTGGTCCCAGACTACTACTGCATGGAAAGAATAAAACAACTTGGTCTTTTCTCAACCTTCGGCTGCAGAGAGATGTGTATCTTCTCTCAAGATCTTCAAGCCTCAATCCAGCATCAGTATATGCATCCAAGCTCCAGGCTTTTCATACCTCTCTCCCCTTCTTCAAGAAGAAAACCCCCAAAGAATATGAGACCAGAGGCCCGGGCGTCTTGCAGCGAAGCATGACATCACTAAAAGATTCTCCCAAGCCAGCCCTTTACTTAAGCCTCACAGGGCTAATTCCATTTGTTTCTGTGCCACTGTTAATGGCCATCCAAGGGACCTACTACCCAGAGCTGGCATTTGCTCAGGTTACATATGGTGCCGCAACAGTCTCTTTCCTAGGAGGAATGAGGTGGGGGTTTGCTCTCCCAGAAAACAGCCCAGCTAAGCCAGACTGGCTGAACCTGGCTAACAGTACAGTTCCTCCTCTACTTGCCTGGCAAGCCTTAATTTTTAAAGATATAACTCTTGGTGCAATAATGCTAGTAATGGCCTTAGGGATAGCACTGCATTATGACATTTCCCTTCTTCCTACTTATCCTAGGTGGTTTAAAGTACTGAGGGTAGTGGGAACTGTGCTGATGGCATTATCGCTATTAGCTACTGCAGCGTTGAAGGCTATTATAGAGGAGTGACAGCAGAAATAAATGGCAGAACACAGAATAACAAATCAACAGGAAAAAACTCTTTATCTGCCAATAAGGTATTTGTATTGTGTTCCAGGGGAAATAAAGACTTACTTGTGCTTAGAAGTCATAAGATGATAGTGATCAAGATGATTATTCTGAAAGCAAACTACTTAGCTAGTTTAGGAGGGAAGGATTGTAAATAGCAATGACTTCCAAGGCAGGTACAAGTTTGTCCTTCTCTGTAGAACGAAGCATCACTCTTGAACGAGATGTTGCTGTCATATGAATATAACATGGAATTCAAATGACATGGGTATGAATTGTTCTGTGCTGAATTATTAAAGTATCTGGTTTTAACTATAATGCGTCAATGTTATGTGGTGGGGAGAACAACTGTGCAGTCATAAACAGTAAAAAGGTGAAAGCAGTTCTTCTAGTTTAGTGTTTGAAGTATCAGCAGAGAATTACACAAAAGTACATATATGTTTGATTCCTATGTTGTGGAACAAAACACTGTCTTACTTCAACTGAGGTGGTACTGAAAATGATACATGATTAAGTGCTAGTCAGTTAAGAATGGATAGGCAAGGTTTGTTTGCAGTGGCAAGCCAGGGTCAGCACTCACCTAAAATATGTCATCCAGCGGCTGTAATGCAGTGGGGAAAGCTTTGGATCTTGGACAAGACACCACAAGAGACAGAAGGTTAGCTTCCTACTCAGGCTTACTGAAATAAAAAAGGATAGGTTTTGTTTGGACTTAGGGCAGCCTAAGCCAAGGAAGCTGCACATGACGTAGTACTCTAGGAGTATGACAGATCTTTATGTCTATCAACTGAATGTGACACATGGACTTGATTTCTGGTGCTAAGGGATCAGATAATGAGCCTGAAAGTAGTTTGTGTCTTCTCACTCCTTAAAATTCATTTTATTTGAGCACCCAGGCAGGGCAGGTATAAATGGGTTTGAAGCCTGCAAACCCTTTGTGACGGACAAATTACTGAAAACACGGCTGAAGCACGTGCTCTTTGTACTTAAGTTGTCCTAACACATCATTCAGGGGAAGAAGATACAACCTAAGTCACAGATTTTCTTTTCTAGCCTCAGCTACCTCAAGAAACCTATGAAAGTGTATGTGGGTATATTTACTACAGGCTTTTAAGTATTCTTTAAGTACAGTATAAGATGCAAGGAGGAGGCTGAGAAGTGACATCCTCACAGTGTTGTTCTATAGAGAATGAAGCACATACTGTCACTTAAGATTTGTTGTATGTTAATTCTGCAAAGAATATATGTTTAAGAAACCTCTCCATCGTGATGATAGAGCCATCTTCTTATGCGGTATTGCTGAAATAGCAACTATGTACACAAGCCTCAGACTTTTGTAGCCTGTTAGTCTTTACATGTTAACAGCATCATACCTCTGAAGCAGCGATATATTTCAGTGGTCTCTGACTATAAAGGAAGTAAAATTGAGTTCATGAATTAAACCAGTTCTTTTATTCTTTCTTACTTAGACATGATATTTTTTAAGGTGGGTCCAGAGAAGAGTACTGCCTTTGGTTTGATTTAGGGAAGGAGGTGCTGAGTATAAGAGACCATAATCAACTGACTTCAGTTTCATTCAAACATGACTGATACAATCAACTACAAAAACTGGAGAAGGTCAGTTCATTCAACAGCAGACTCCCTCAAGTTTCATAAATCATAAAGTTTGGGGGTAGAGATCAGAAGTGAATACGTAGTTTCCAGACTAATAAAAGAGAGCTAATGTTTCTCAAATGATTCACAAGGGATCTTGATATGTAAAGAAGAGAGTCTGATAAATACTACTTATCATTTGATCCCAGAGAGGGCTGCACAGAGCTGGCAAGGCAGCCAGACTTCTACAAAGTCTGAGTGATGTGTTTCTCTTCTCAGTGTAAAATGAGTGTTTTACTACAGAAGTGTGTTACTTGCACCTTTCAAATAGTCAACATTTATAAACAAGCTTTCTTAGTACCCTACTGGGAACTAGGATTTCCAGTTAAGAAAAAACAAACCCCAAACTAAACCTATTTTACGAAAGAGGCAGCAATACAACTCCTTTTGATGGGAATGCACCCTATTCAAGAGCATGCCACAGTCAGTTCTGAAAATGCATTTTATTATGAAAAACTGTTTAAAACAAGATTAAACTTGAAGAAAAAAAGACAGAATAAACATTAGTTCACACATAAGAAATCCTTTTGAAGTAAAAGCACACACAAGATTATAGAACAACCAGAGAAACAAATGCTCCATTGTCTAGCATGTTTTTGCTTGGCAATTTCCCAACCCTATGTTAGAATGTAAGAGCTAGATTCTTAAGGTACCTGCAACACTCAACTTTGAGAATTTTATTCGTGTATTAATTTTACACAAGGGATATTGACCTAGACAGCATAAATGCTCCTTTGTCTAAACAGTGCAGGCTTCCTGTTTTGTGACATTCCAGTTGTGGTTTTGCATTCTAGAATAACACTGTCTATCAAACAGCCTTATTTCAGACTTCATCCAAATCATCCACAGCTGTGTAGAAAATGCAATCATACTGTGCAAAAAGCAACTTCAAGTACATTAATTAAATGAATCTAGAAATAACTCCAAATTCCTAGTAGTATTGTTCTACTAAGTGTATCCAAGCTAAATACAAACTCCTCAAGACAAAACACACCAATGGCATCACTTTAATGCTGAATGCAGCTAATTCTATCAAAATGCTCTGTCTGTGCAAATTTGGAAGAGACAGGAGACGAGCTGTAGCAAGAATGAACGTGTGTACCTTGTAGAACAGCATGTATTCCAATGCCAAGCCTCAGCATGTGTAACACAGAATAAAACACATTTAACTAAGGAAAAAGAATAAAAAAAGGGCAAAAGGCTTTCCCTTTATTTTTATACTAAGAGCAGTTCTAAATAGAACAGCTAATCTAACGAATAGCATTTCCATTTAAAATTAATCAGAGCTTACACAAAAAGGAGCTCTACTGTCATCACTGATGCCACTGAGAAGAAAAGCCTGTGCTGATGTGGAATGACATTATTAGAACTGTGAGAATAACCTTCCAGAACAGGAAATTCTCAGCCACTGACCATTCAAGTTAATGGAATGGCCAGAAAGTAAATAACCAGTTCATATTTAATGCCCATCATGTCCAGCAGCAGAGAAGCGGCTCAAATGCATCAAAGGCAGAAGTAGAGGTACCAAGTCTTCCCCACCTGTTATCTTCATTGTTTTCTGCTAGAAAATAACAGCTAACGCTAAACAGGTAGCCTATCTGCTCTTATCTGCAGGCAACTCCTAGCTGTCTGTAAGTAACCTCCTTCCACATTGTAAGGCCAGCTAAAGATGCTAACTTTGATGCATCTTAAAGAATTAACAACCTGATTAGTGTCTATCGTGCTTTCTGGAATGATTTTTTCAGATTTTTACAGGGTGAATCTGCCGTTTATTTCAGTGAACTTAATCCAGTCATAAGGGGCATTCCTACTCTTAACAGAATACTTCCTCAGACAGACACTGGATTAGCCAATTTGAAGGGCAAGAATTTTAATATTTCCTTTTGCTTAGGAAAAGCCCTCTAATCTAATTCTCCACTGTCTCTGCTGAAGCTCCTGTGTTAGAACAGGCTTCTGGCCAATGAAACCAGAAACCTGAGACAGATTCACTCATTCCTTGAATGAATTTTCTTCTTTGTGTTTTACAGCACAGCTACACCTCCTTCACAGCGGCTGGTGATCATGTTGGCAATTTCAGTCCAACTGTCCATATGAGGGTTATAAACTTCAACAGAGTCAGAGGTTACTGGAGCAGCAAAATCATGACTGGGAGCTCGGCCTCCCGAGGCATAAAGAAATCCATTTGCAGCCACAACACAGACACCAGCTCTTGGTATCTTCATTGATGCAACTTCAACCCACTTCTCCTAATGAAAAGGTGAAAGAGTCAACAAGTAGTTTTAGGGTAAGCCCCAGTTCTGATAAAAGTAACTTTTAACGCTTAAAGACTGAAACATAGACAAAGAACACGAGGAATACACTTCATAGGCTCAAATATGGTATGTATACAGTATCAGGAGGATTTTCAAGACTGTAATGACAATGCTTGCACAAGTGGTCAAAATAATGCTAGTCACTGAAGAACAGATCACATACTGTCTGTACACAACAACTCTCCCTGTCTCCAAAATAGAGAAGGTTATGCAGTTTGAGGTGGGAAAATAAGGAAAACTAGATTAAATTCCAAAAGCAAAACAGAATGGTACACTGGATTATGCTCCACTTTTAACACTACCTACTGTTCCAAAGAACATCACAGAAACATGAGCAATAATAGTCAGGAGTAATACCTTACTCAAAAGCTTAAGTGTTTGAAGTGATTTTTCTAGTCATGCTGAAACAACACTACATTTTGATGCAGAAGAAAGATCCTCAACTTTTGCAAAGGGCAACTCTTCCTTTTTCAGGGATTTTTTTTCCTCTCTCGTCAGATTATTGGCCATTCTATTGCAGAAAGGGAATCTATCCCCCCATCCTAATCCTAACAAGTGTTTACCAAACTACATTATACGTATGCATCATCAGTATTGGTTAGCTTTCAGTTTCCCAAAGGCATGCATACAATCTTCATGAACACTCCACCAAGTCAGATAGCAAGATTCTACAGACTGGTTGGGACAGACAGACAGACCCTGAGGTCACTGAAGCTCTGTTTCACTCAGATTACCAGCCAGTACTCAAAAGGAAACAAAATTTTCAACTGTTTTCTTTTTTCTTTTTAAAGAAATGAAGCAGGCTACCTCTTTAGCATTTTACAGAAAGTTGATGCAATCTACATTTATGAAGGAAAGGGGCTCTACCATACCTCTTCAAAGGAGTATCTTTCTACAGTAGCAAGTGCATCCTGAGATTCATTCCAGCCTCCCACAGCATAGATAGAATCGTTGAGAGCAGCTACACCAAGATATGCTCTTCGGGTGCCCATTGGAGCAAGCTCAGACCAACGTTTAGATATTGGGTCGTAGACTTCAACAGAACATAGCTCTACTCCTTCATTGCTGATACCACCAACAACATAAATCAAACCTGTAGAAACAGTTTTTCCTCTATTCAGTTTCATAATAGAAAGGTTTGAAAGAGAAAATGTTTGTCACAATACAAATTTCAGCCTAACATTTAGATGGTTTAAGAATGCGATAAAAGTCCTCCATTTGTACAGCAGTAGCATACGTAAAGCTTTCAAATGAGTAACTTGAGGCTCAAGCACTAAAAGCTCTGATGAAAGCACTAATTAACCAAACACAGGGGAGAGAATTCAGAAGGCTGCAACTGCTGACCAGGCCTGGATCAAATGCTTAATAAGCACATTAATAGATCAAGTTTTTAGACATGTCCATCTTAAAATAACCTGTGGCAACTCTACAGACTGTCACAAAAGACACACACAAACCCAAATATGGGAGGTAAATAAAAGCATTATCAGGAAGGACAATCAGCTGTTAAAGACTAGCTGGATAACCATACTGGCAGCCACATAAAAACTGTTTTCATGAGATAAAAGGCAGAATACAAAGAGAACTTTCTAGTCTTTAAGTCCTGTAGAATTAAAAATACGGTACTAAAAGGACAAATAGATAAGGCACAAGCTTGTGCAACTGACAGCATAGTACAAGACAAAGGTAAAATAAATTAATGACTGAAACATAAAGCTTGAAAATCCAATGGCTCTGGAATTGCTATGGATACAAACTTAATATTCACCTTGCATTTCACAACACCCAAAGCAGTAACGGGGCACAACCATGCTTCCCACCACATCCCAACTATTTTCTTCAGGATCAAATCTTTCAATTGTGTCGCCAATCTCTGCTCCAACCCAACCTCCTGCAAATAACAGCAAACACAGGGAAGAATTTAATGGCATGAAGCTGTGTGTTAGCTGCATTTTTAAACATATGGTGCATTGTTCCAGGACAGACCGATTCTGAAACCGGCATGCAACCACACACAGTGGAAAAAAGTTATAACTGAACAATAATCCACAAAGATTTGTTATTTGCTCATGTAAACAGCTGTTTTTTCAAACTTAAGTTTGCAAATTTACAACACCAACATGTAATATGTAAGAACAAATCAATTTGCAAGTTCTATGAATTAACACCTTTTAAATAAACTTCACCTAGAAAAAACCCAAAACCTACCCAAAGCATAGATAGCACCATAACATGTACACACTCCCAGTCCACAGCGGGGATGGTTCATGGAAGCCACAGTGGTCCACTGCTTAGTAACAGGATCATAACATTCAGTGCAGTCAAAAATCATTGAGTTGTCCTCACCTGCACATTAAAAGCAAGAACACAGACAGGGGAAACACGATGTTTTACATTGCAGATATAGAAGCATTATTCCAACTCCTTCCAAGAGAGACAACATTTGAATGCAACATCTTCCTTTTAGCTAGCCAAATGGCCAAAGCAGCAAAAGCTTCGTTTATACCTAGAACTGAATCATCACTAGGAACAGCCTTCACCAACAGTTCCCTGAAACATTACTGAAAACATCACATGGGTGAACAAACACAGTGCTACATACTTTTTACTCCACAGCACAACTGACACGGTTTTTGAGACCAAAGAACGTGTTCTGCGGTGACAAAACCAGTATATATATATGCATTCTTTAATGATGGGCTGCTAGAGCCACTCATCACATCCTTATGCAAATATACATAGCAAGCCTTTCCAGGTAGGCAGATTACAAGTGGTCTGTCCTGTACAACTGCCTTTTATGCGATAGGCTTCTGCTAGCATTTCTTTTCTCACTTGTAGTCTATTAGTGGTGATGCACAAACTCCACAGAATATCCAAAATCTCTCAGTACACCTGCATGTGTCCATATGCTTACCTGTGAGTTGCTACACTATGAGGAGAGAGTAGTTTAGTAAAAAATGCCCAACATAGGAGCCCAAACGGGTGTTCAGAGAGTAGTGATGGTAGGAAACCAAGAAACCCCAATTCGTTTGTTACTATGTCTAAAAGTTGCGTTATCTACTCTTGGATTCCTCAGAAGCACTTACAGGAAAAATAAATTTTAAAATCTCCATCCATGAGTTTCCTAGTATCCATGTAACAAAAGAAAACATATTTCAGCTGTTACCTCCAATGGCATAGACCATTCCTCCCACCACAGCCACACCCAGCCCACTCCGGGCCTGGTGGAGGGAGGACACTGTGGTCCAGTAGTGGCTGAAGGTGTCAAATCGCTCCACACAGCTGAGGGCTCTACTGTCACTCCAGCGTCCTCCTTGCAGTCGCGTGTACCCACCTAGAAAGTAAGTGGAAAGATCACAGCTGAGTAAGAGCTTCCCACTTAAACCCACGCTCCTATATCTAAACCATCAAAAAAATTACAGTAACAGCCATTAGCCATTTTTAGTAGGAACTGGACTTTTCCAAGCAGCATTGTTTGTCCAGTACACAAGGAATAATGGTCACCTTGAGGGCCATGTAACTTGTGCCTGAGCTAACCACTTCACCACAACACTACAAATATTACCATTTGTGTTCTCAGCAAAATACAGAGACCAGCCAACAGCCTTTGCTACTTTAAGTCTGTGTTATTTTCCAGAGTGAAATGAGAGCATTCTCTTCCAATAAAAAGCTGCAGCTTTGCTGAAAACTTGCAATTTCAAGCATCCCATCATGCAAATTAGAATATTCTGGAGAAAAAACTTCAACTTTCAGAAGAACAAAGAGTGCAGTAAGTTTGAATACACCATTCCAGCAGTGAACCACTGGCAAATCCTCTGCTGATTTGCAGATTTCCACCCAAAGCAAGTAATTTTTAGAAGGCAAATCTTGGCTTTGAATGCCATGTCATAATGCCATGAAATGTGAATGCTGCCCTTCTGTGCAATTCTAAGAAGAAAGCAGCTAACATGGTAACTCTGCCAGATGAAATATTTTGCTATTTGTATATATTTTGATTAAAAAAAAATAATAATCCAGTATCTCTTTCAGTATTGTAATACGAGATACTACTTCATCACTTTGTTTTACAAGGTTCAAACAGCCACATTCTAACCTACTGCATAAAGGTACTTCCTGGCTTTCCTCCGGGGACGACCTTTAGAAGCTTGCAGAAAACTGCTGACCTTGTTCTCTTTGGGAGATTTACAGACTTCACAATATTCTTTCAACAGAGTTTGCAGGGCCACTCGAAGGCTGAAATCTGGAATACCTTGAGGAAAAAAGCAGATGAAAAAAGACATAATGAAAAGTTAGAGACAGTAGAAAAGTTACTGTCTTCTCCTAAAACAGCAGACAAATCAAGATCGCCTACTTTTATATTACTTTTTCAAAAGCATGTTTTAAAGTAAGCTGTGCTCATTTGTTAAAAAGTAGAATTTGATTGGGTAAATATTTTCAACCATCATGCTATTAATTTTAATAATATGGATTATCATAATCCAGTAATTTGGAATGGCACATTGTTTGCTCACATCCAAACATCTGATATTGTTTTTTTCCCTTCTTTCACTTACTTTCTATGTATTTTAGTAGCCTTTGCGCTGGCAGCAGAGGGAATCGAACAGGCTCCAGTACTTCTACGACGTGTTTCTTTCTTTTACCCACATCCTTCAAAATCCATTGCATTGCCGCTATGAAAACCTGGTACTCGTCCTCGATGCTGAGGTCCTCACTTCGCAAGATCTTAATCAGCTGCTCTTTTGTCAGGGCCAGGAACTCCTCCCCGCTCTGCACCTCCGGGAAGTGCGCCTGGATGTAGCTCTCGGTGAACTCCATCAAGTCGTGACAGGCGATCTGCTCGGAGAACTGGAAGAGGCCGACGCAGTTCAGCGGGTCGATCTGCCCCTTCAGGAACTCGCAGCAAAGCTCCACCACCTCGGTGAGCTGCAGCATGTCGGCGGCGACGATCAGCTCCTGCACGTTGTGCTCCCCGATGCTCACCACCCCTGCGGGCACGCACACGACAGCGGGCTCCGCTCGAGGCTGCGGCCACCGGGCAACCCCCCACACCGGGCCCGGCCGTCGGGCAACCGTCCCCGCCGCCCCCCGCCCCCGGCAGCCGTTACCTGTGTAGATGAAGTCGAGGAGCGTGTGGAAGGTGCCCGCCTCGACGCCCGCGATCCGCACCACATCCCGGCCGGACTCCTTCATGCCGCCCGCGAAGAGCGCCGCGAAGTAAGGGCTGCTGGCCGCCAGCACCAGGCGGTGCACGGCGAACGCCTCCGGGCCCACCTCCAGCCGCACATCGCAGAAGCTCTGCCCGGCCCGCAGCCGGTTGATCTGAGCCAGGAGGAGGCGGGCGTGCCGGTCGGAGAAGGAGCTCCCCCCGCCCTTGGCCGCCATCGCGCTCCCTCAGCAAGGCGGCGCCTCCCCGCGGCCCCGGCCGCCCTGAGGGGCAGTGCTGGCGCATGCGCAGCACCGCCCTCCCGTGGCGCATGCGCAGGCCGGTGGCGGGAGGGAGCGCTCCCCCGCGCTGAGGCGGGACTGAGGCGGCGGGCGGGCGGGCGGGTGAGGGGCCCCACTGAGGTGTTCTGGGTGCTGAGCACCCTTCTCCCTCAGCGGGCGCAGGAGATCGGCCTGCCCCGCTTAAGGTACGTCTGTATGATCCTTCGTCTGCGTGCTTGCCCCACAGGCACCTCTGGCCACTGCACCACGGGCTCGCTGCCCGCTCGGTGAGGAGCTTTCTTGTCTGTGATTAAAGCTGGTCCCCTGCCAGGTTCGCTCACTGCACCTGATGCCCAGGTAACTGGTGAACGGCAGATGAGTCGTCACCTTATTCACTGCACTCACAATCTTTGTTTTGCAGTCATATTCCCCTCAGGCATGCTTTTGCATGCTGGATTCCTAGCTACGTTAATCTGTGCTTGTGAGAGAGAAACATGGCTGCGTTGGGGAGAAACCGCAGGCACCATCTGCCTGAGGCAACCCCAGAGATGGGAGGTGGGGGGAACTGCCTGTCATTAGCTCAGGACTGTGGCATTAGAGCCAGCCCATGCACCCTCTTTCTCTGTAGTGTCATGCCGTGCTTGGGCCTTTTTAATTCCGGCATGGATGTTTCATCACAGTGTCCTTTAGCAGTACTGTGTGGGCCGCTGGGGTCAGCACTGATCTTGAGGCAAAGCATGCTTCTATCTTTGTGTAATTCACTGAGTCACTGCCTGCCTGAGCCCTGACCAAGGGATGGGCATCACATCCTGAGTTACATGCACGTGGTTACTGCATCTGGCAGAGCTGGCACTGATTCTGAGAGAAATGCAGCCCTCCTGAGTTTTCCACAACTGTTCTAGCAACATGACGTGCAGCCAAAGCAAAAAGCAATCAGAGAGCTTCTTGGAATGCTTCCATATCTATTTACTGTGAGACCGGGAAAGAAAAACATGTCTGCTTATAGTTACAATGGTCATGGCCCCTCAGGCTTTTCTCATGATTCTGTGTTTCATTGTAATAACTTTTAAATATGCTTCTGGAAGGGATCTGAATCGTGATACTCTCTGGGGACTGTTGGTTTCTCTGTTCATCAGCATTACATTCTTGACAGTAGAGTGGTAAAATTAACTTTCAAGCTGGTCTTAAAAAAATAACTATAGAAAATATAGATCTAGATAGAAGAATAAAGTTTATGCAAGCACACACAGTTGGATCCATGCTGATATAACTCAGTATAAATTTTAAGCTAGGCTAATAAATGCATTGAGATTTTTCTTTCATTGATGAATCACAAAAAGAAACCAGACCCCTCTCGTGCTGACATTTTATTCATTGGAAGTGGCCTGTGAGTAAAAGGCTTAGAATTCTCCTAAATGCCAGTGGCTCAGTCGCTGGCTGATGTCAGCTGTTAGACACTTGGCCAGTACTAGGATTTCACAGCATAGCTCCAAATTTACAGACACAAAATAGTGTTGCTGAGACTGCTAATTTTGCCCCGAAGGCCTGTCCTGTACTGTATTAATGTGGTTGAATGGTTCTGTTTCCAGAAGAGCGCATTGCTTCAGCATGTTTCTTCTGTAACCACACAGAAGCTGTACAAGATGGAGCTAATGCTCCCAAATAGTATTGTACATCTCCCAAAGCAAGCTGTAGATTTTCAGGAACATACCTGAAAGTACATTTGTCAGTGTGAAATTGCACTGTGTAATGATGAGCCTAATTCACTAACACCAAGAATGACAATCATTTCAATGAAGAAATTAAAAATGTCTTAAATTTTAATTTAATAGGCTTCTAACATGATATTTGCCAATAAGCTACCTGAATGCTGACTTCCAGAGGACAGATGACAAAAGAAGGCATGCCCTGTGCTCCTCAGTGTCTTCCACTGCTCACACCTGCACAGAAGTGTCACAGTACCAAAACCTCTCAGTGAGAAGAATCTTACCAACAAGTTATTCAGGCTTTCTCTTGAAAAACACTTGCTCTGTGCCAGAGTGCCCATGAAGCATTGCAGTCCTCCCCGTGTTAACCCCGAGGACCATGGCTGCTCAGATTTCCCTGGCTGAGGTCTTCTCCGGAAAACCTTTCCAGGTGCCGGAAGATGTTCTGCTGAGCTAAGGTGTCTGTGCTCCCTCTCTCAGATCCTGCAGATGGTGCTGCTACTACAGGATGGTACATTTGAGCATGCAACAAAAATGGGTGGAAAAGGTGTTGCATGTGTGGGTGCTGTAGTTCTCTGTTACAGGAAGATCTTTGTTAGATTTAAGATTTTTTTTTTCCTGAACTGTGTAAAGGTGTAGGGCTTTTAGTCTCAAAAAAGCTACAAGAAAAATAATTGATTTGAAAGTGCAGTTTTGCCTGTCTGCCTCTAGTCAGAAGCCTGTTCTTTATAGCTATAGCTTTGGGGATCATTTTGACTCAGTATTCAAGCAGTATCCTTACCATACTTGGCTGCTAAAATTCTCTCTCGCTGTGGAGAGATGAAACTCAGTCCTTGACTGTTTGTAGGTAGGACAAACCCTGTGGGATGTTTTGTGATAAGGAGCCACTTTCTATAAAAGCCAACCAGGATATGCCAGGTCAAATTCCTCCCCCAGTATCAGTGGGTATGAAATCTTCACTTCCTGTTGCAAACTGCAGTGCATCTCTGCATTTTGTCATCTGTGCTAAGGCATCTGCTATAATTGTTCAGTAGTACAGTCAGTTGCCATTTTAATTACTAATTGCCCGCTGTATTTACTACTTCTATTTTAATGCACTTGACCTATCAGAAGGGAGTTGCTGGACAGCCTCACCAAAATGGAAAGGCGCATACTTTGTGATTTTGGTGTCCAGGTCGCAAAACCTTCATAGGATACAAACATTTTTGCTCCAATTTCCTAAGTTTCATAAGTACCTGAACTCAAAATTCCTCCAAGGAAGTCAAAATTGCAGAAGTACAGAGCCACCAAGAGTTTTCGAGGACTAGAAGTACCTATAGTACACTAAGCTACATCTCTCATGCTTTCAAGATGCCCTCTCTCTGTTAAAGCCTATGTTTGCCCAGGTTTCTCACTCTGGATGCCATTGAGTGCCCAAGGCAATGATGCAGATCAGCAGTCTCTGTTGATGCACAGTTTAGTGGAGCAGTGGTATGTGCTGCATGATGAATCTGGAGACCCTAATAGGGGTATGATAAGAGAGGTTGCAGGAATTCACACTCACATGACGTGGAAGAGGGAAAAGGCTCCCGGGATACTTTCAAGGTATTTCTCAAAGACAGTAGTGGTTAACCCATTATCACCACAATGGGACTGTTTATCATCTTGTCTACTCAGTTAAAAGCCTCTAATGAGCTAAAGGCACTAGATTCTAATTAGATACCTACATAAACCTGTTGTCAGCTTATGTTTTTATGTGATACATAAGCTTTAGTGGATGAAGAAGCTTCCCTTCGGGGTCTGAATGTTTCCCATCTCAGTGGGTAAAGGCTTTTTCCTTCACAGTGAGATAACATGTTTTCCAAACTTAAGTCAGGTGTGAGAACACTCTCTCTTGGTAGGTTTGGGTGAGGCCCAAAAGCTATTACCTTCATTCCTGTGAGGGTTAATGAATCTTGATGATTATGTGTGTATGTGTGTCGGGCAGAGGTCTGAACTGGAATTGAGCCAAAGATGGAGAGCAAGAGGGGTCCCCAAATCTAGTTGTTCTGCACAGACATCTGCAGAATATAGGGCTTGTGTGGAAACTTTTATATTTTCACACTACCAGAAAGGTGGTGATGGTTCTGTCCATTTCTCAGCTGAACTGTTAATGGCTAGGGAAACTGTAAAGCTCATGGAAGTGTCATGCTGAATGATTCTCCTCTCCTCTCTGAAGCCTTTGTGAACTTTGGTGAACATTAGTTTGGAATTTGTAATTAAGTATTTTTATTACTTTCACTGTAATACAGCTTCAGGTAAAGGTGACATAAAGGTAACTACCTGATATCAGAGTTGTCAGTCCAGACAGATTTAGCATTCTTGAACTGGGTGTTGAACAACTCTCCTGAGTATCTGCATTGCACCAAAGGAACTGAGAAGCCGACTGTGCTAGAGTCCAGCTGAGTGGGGTGGTGCCTTCGGGTGACCAACCATAGCCCAGGGAGCCACTTGGCAGGCAGCAAAAGTGGGGAGCACGTCTGAGCTGCAAGAGCCTCCAGAGGAAATGTGACATTCCCAGTGGGTAACGAACAGATAATGGCTTGTGATTTCAGGAACACTGGCAATATTTCTCTGCTGTGTGCTCCAGGCTTCACCTTCACAATAGTGTTGGGTCGAAAGGTGATTGGTGTATGATAAAAAGTAATAAGAAAAGGAAAAAAAAAGTTCAGTCTTAAAGTATGCCCTAGCAATGAGAGGATTGTGTCATCTGACCTACTTGTGTGGAGAGGTTCATGTACTGGGTACACTTACCTAGCAGGAAGTTTGGAGGAATTCCAGCGAAACTGGTAATGTTGTGCAACATGCATGGCTACAGTTCCCCACCAGTTAGAAGATTATTGTGTTTAAGCCATAGGTCTGGAGCAAATCCAGGCAAATTGATTTAAAGTAAACATCCTGGATGTAGTGTGTCAGATACTAGCACAATATTGTTTTACTCTTTCTCATTTCTCCTGTGGGAATAATCATTCCATGAAGAAGGAAAGTGATCTAATGAGAGAATTAACTCAAGAGCTTGAACATTGAATTAATCACAGCTGTCTGAGAGGGGAACCAAGGCAAACTCCACAGAGAGCATTTCCAAGGAAGGAGGCCAAAAGAATACTAAGACTCAGATAGCAGCTGGTGATCAAAAGAGGCAGGAGAGAGGGTTTTAGTAGCTAAAGGGAAGCAAAACTGCAGCAGAGTTTCCCCTCATTTCTCTAAGTTAAATCTCAGTAGGAGATCGCTGCAACTTTTTCTTGGAGCTGTTGAAAGCTACCAGATTGTTGGGGTCTGATCC